AAAAAGTAAAAATAGGAAATTGACACAAGAAACATTTGAAACTAAACTAGTGGGGTGGGTGGCATCGTGCCTTAAGGCAAATTGCTGGAACTTCCCGTACCGTAACGAATGTTCAAGGAATACTGAATGTTTTCAAATAATTATTATAAATATTGTAACATTGTCTAATATTTATTAGTATTTATAAACTGAATTGCTTGTTTAAAGCAATTATTATTTGTTTTAAAGTATATTAGAACTATAGTCAAATTAAAAATAAAATCTGAATTATTTTCGAATATACCAAAAATTAAAAAAAAAAAAAAATGAAAACAAATCTTTTTTTCCAAAATCAATTATTTTGTTAAGACAAGCAGAAAGTTTCTTTGAATCATACAAATCGGACGCTTAGTTCTCTCAAAAACTGCCATTTTTTACATTTTAGCTCCGTATCTTCAAAATGGCTGGACTTACCTTTGCCAAAAACTAATAAACACTTCTCCCAATCATAACTAATTGAATGTTTTTTAGATCATTCAAATCGGATGCTCCGTTCTTTCAAAAGTTCGATTTCTATTTTCTGCACTCTTTGCTCCGTATCCCCGAAACGGCTGGACCTGCCTTTGCCAAAACTAATCAGCTCTTTTCCCTATCGATAGGAATCGAATGTGTTTTTGAACCATTCAAATCGGTTGATCCGTGCGCCCGAAAACGTGACTGGAAATTTGTATCCCACATACATAACACACACACATCCATTTTTTCTGAGGTATGCCAAAATGTTCAGAAACCTTCAAACGTCGAGAAATATAAAAATTTTCAATTCCGATTATCGCCCATTACAATAATTTTACCCTACGGGAGTTAATAAAAATTCAAATCTAGAAAATAATTTACGTAGTTTTTGAGTTACATCGAATGGTGTTAATTTTTGTTTATTCAATCAATTATATCAGTATTATTTTATTTTTGCATACCTGTTGGCTACACTTTGGCCTTCCATGCGAGCGGCGTCCCATAATCTAATAGTTCCATCCAGAGAACATGTTACAAAAAGTGGAGAATCGGGAGAAAGAGGTATCAGGCCAGTTATGTTACCAGAATGCTCGTGCAGGTGTGCTATGTGTCGTCCCCGAGGTGTCCAGCCAGGCGGTGGCAATGGGGAACGCCATCGTGCTGATTCCGCTAATGTTAAGGCGCTGAAAGAAAAACAGAAAGAAGTTATAAACCAACCTTTAAAATATAAAATAATCTTTAAGACATATCTTGTGTAATTACACGATAATCTAGTAAATTAATTGATTGCATAAGTCGATAAACATTTAGGTAATAATAAGTATTAATTTATTTTTGACTAATTAAAATTAAAAAAATATCCATTACTAATAAAAAAATACTGCATATTAAAGAACAGGTTTTCTTGTCCATTTTCTTTTTTTACAATTTTTTATTTTTTAATAAATTATTCCCAATGCTTACTGTTTGGCGGTATCATATCGTTCTTGTTGTCTAACAATAAGAGATCTCAGTTCCATACTACAATCAGCTAAACGACCTAAAAGTTTTAAGTAAAGTTTTAAGAAACAAGTAAAATAAAAACATAAACTGAGGTAAAGATAAAATATAATTATACTCAAAATACTCACACTGAACATAACTTCCTTCAGGTTCTGATAAACTAGCTGCATCATTCAGGTGATTTGTTTGTTGATGAAAAGGTGAATTATTTACAAGAGAATTTGTAGTTAATTGATTTGCAGATGTTTGATTGTTTTGGGATACCGGGCTGTTTAGACCTCCAAACATGTGTTGCCATTCAGAGTTCATAGTAACATCTTCAGCGGGTTTGCGAAGTTTTCTGAAAATAAAATTGTTGCTGCTGATATTTACAAATATAAATCCAATAAAATTGGCTAATTCTAACCATATAGTTTATCAATGTTTAAGCTATCTGGCTATCAGAACTGCCGCTCTTTTACAAAATAAGTTAGAAGGAAAAGATCAATTCAAAATATTTTTTTCCGTTTAAAATTTATATAGTATTTTACTGTTGTCTCAAAGAAATTACTCACTGATTATTTATTAATATAATTAATAATTTGTTTTAAAAAATCCAATATCAATTTTAAAATGCTATATCATAAATTTAAATTTTAGGAAAAACTCAATAATCTTACCTTTGCAGGGTATCAGCATTCTCAGTCTTACTGGAATCTAATTGAAGTACATGACTAAGATTTTGAGTTCCTCTTATGTCCAGCCTTCCATTATATTGTCCAACACTTGATAGTTGGTTAAAACCTAATTTGTCTGGGCTTTTACTTCCAGCATTTGCATCAACTATACGATATTTACTAAGTTTTATTAAATGTGCACTCATTGATAACAATTGATTTTCCATGTGGTCTGTCAAGCCTTCTGATTGGACGACTAAAAGCTGAAAAATATAATAAATAGTTTAAGTAAATTATTCTTAATTTATTAAATCTGATTAAAAACAATAATCCATAAGCCATATAAAATCAATAATGGTAATTGGGGTTATATGCAGATAATGACTATATTATTGGTTTAATAATAAAGCTAAGAATATTTTATAAATTAACTTACTGCTTTTAAAGCTTGATTCTTTCCCCAAAGAGGCACAGTTCCTTGTTTAACTTTCGCGCGGATGACCCTGCGTTCTCTAAGAGTTTCTATTAAATAGTTGATGTCAGGATATCTAAAATAAATATATATATAATAAGGCACATAATCACCATTCATATATTTACAGCATATAAGTATTACCTCACTACACTATCAAATATTGTTCTTGGAATAGGCGCCTGCAAGCTGTCCAGGAGGCATTTCCGGTTTCTCTACTTGCAGCACCGGAACACGCAAGTGCGTTGAAATTGCCGGAACTATTTTACACATTGCACGTCGATTGGACTCAAAATTTGAGCGGACGTGGCGATTAAACCGCACACCTGAAATAACATTTTTAACGGTTAATATTCATGATCTTTATCGAATTTCATAATATTAGGATGTAAAAAAATACCTCATGTCTTATCCACAAATTAGGATGATTAAGATAACAAGCGCATTCTGCTATATATTCTGTTAGTGTAGATTTATGCAACAGCCCTAGGCTCATCAGAGAAGCAGTCGCATGAATTGATTTTGCTATCACAAATTCAGAAGTATCGGTTAATCCCTGCAATTAAAAGAATATTGCATTCAATCCTGAAAATAAATAAGAAAGATTTTATATACCTGATGTAGAAGAGGAGCTAATATGACTGAGCAATGCCATCCAACATAAGCTGCCACTTCCACAACACTATCAAAAAATGAACCACGTAAGTTCTTTCACATTGTCATTTAAAAATGTGATCATGTGTGATAATAGAACGTCATTTGCTGCAAAAAAGATTAATATGAAATTAAAATAAAACCTGTTCTATACTCCCCTAAACTCTTTTGAACAACCTATAAAAATTGATATCTCAATTATCACAAAAAAATGAGATCATGTGTGATAATAGATCATCTTTTACTATAAAAAGTTTAATATTACGTTCTTGTATTGAAATATAGTTTGTTCTTATTATTGTATGATCGGTATATACCTTTCTGTTTCCCAAAAAAGACACAAAGCCTAGCAAGTCCACTTTCCATGAGAGTTTGTTTCACTAGTGAATGAGAATCTGTGAGAAGATGGGCCACCGTTTGTTGAACCATGTCGTGAAGAGCTGCCAACTCGTTTTCGTAATTAAGGACTGCGCAATCCTTATCGGCCGCCATTCTTGTAGCCATATCTAGAAAACGCAATGCCGTCTCCGCAAGTGATGCTTAAATATAAAGATTTTGTTTTAATGTTGAACTTAAAATTAATTATGTGATTTTAATGATATTTTCTTAATCTCACCAATATTTTTGGCATAAGCTATTCGTACAACTGCGGCTGAATCTGTAGCTAATGGGGCAATAGCTGGCAAGACATATTCTGGGAAAACATTGAAATCAGAACGTGGGAGTTCCTGTACAAGGTCTAAGCATCGCGCTAAGATGTCTAGGGAATAAACACGTACACGAGCTGCCGGATCTTGGGCCAAATGTAACTATTTACAGAAACATAAAAAAATGATTTAATGAGAGGAAAATAAATTATCAATATGAAAATGCATTTGCAAAATTTCTGTACTTACAATATAAGGCAATATTCTATCCAATATTGTCTCAGAACTTGTATGCGCTGCCAATTGCAATAATATATCTAAGCAATTCATTTTAGACATGCAATGGTGCAGTCCTCGAATACATGATGTTACTAGACTTGTTATGATAATTAATCCATCATTATCACTCATTTTTGGTCCTTCTTTCATAGTACTCTCGGTTGGTGTTGCATCTCTATCAAATTGATTTTTGTTTTCTCCATTAAAAATTGATATTATATAACCAATGTCTTGATGAAGCCTCATTATTTTCTCATCAGGAGGCAAAATAGGTGTAGCCGAAAATATCAACATGTATGATTGCAGAAAAGAATAGAAATATTCAGGAAAAAATCTAAAATTTATAATAAATATATAATTACTATTCTTGACTAAATGAATATGTTTGTTGTTAAAATTAATTTGAACATACCTCCCCTTTTCATTATCTAGATATACTTCAGCACTTAATCTTAGATGTGGATCCAATTCAATCATAGATGATAATAAAGCTCGCAATGCTGGATCTTTTATAGAATCTAAATGCTTACGAGGCTCATAATCACCAGCTCTATAAGCTAATAATTGTGATAATTCAAATGGTGGAGTACCTTCATTCCATAGCTCTAATAAAGCACAACTAAAAAAAAATTAATAACTTATACTAAAAGGAACAAACACCAACTCTTATATGAAAACACATTACTTTACCCTGCAGAAAATATATCCATTGAAGGAAGTAAATCACCAGAACTGCATGGAATTTCATTAACCAAAAATCCATCTTTATGTACGTTATCCATGTTTAAAGTTTTAACAAATCTAAAATAACATTGTAAAAAATATAACATTTTTATAAAAATTATTCATTTTTTACCTCTCTGGTGCTATATAACAAGTGCGACGTCTAGATGTATCAAAAAAATAACTGTAGTCTGCTGGATTATCATCCGGTAAGTAAGTAGGTTTAAACGAAGCAAAATCAGCAAGTAAAATCCAATTCCAAGATGTAACAAGGATATTTTCTAACTAAAAGCAATTATAATAAGATAAAATAAATTTTGTATTTATAAAAAAAATAGACAAAAGAAAAATAGTAGCTATTACTTCAATTTTACAACAAGATTAAATAATGTACTATGTAAACATCATTTGCATTTTACTATTCATTAATTTTTATTTGTAAGAATAATTTTTTTCTGATTAGTCATATAAAAAGTAATAAAGGTGAGTCTACGTTGTAATTTAGGTTTATGATTATAAAATGGGGAACAAGCCAAATTGGTTCGTATACACAAATATAATAATATATATTCATTATAATGTTCTCATGCAAATAATATAAAGAATGGAATATTTACTTTTATATCTCCATGGCATATTTGTAATTTATGGCATTGATGTAATGAATATAATATTTGAAATGTAATCCATTTTTTTTCTATAACTGTTAAGAATGGTCTTGTAGAAATTCTGTCATACAGACTATGTTTAACATACTGACGCATTATCAAACCAGCACGTTCTGTTAGCTAAAAATAATATAACCAAAGTAATTTCAAGGATTTATTCAACATTATAAACAAATTATGACAATAAATTACTTCAATTCGCTGGAATGGCAGACAATTAACGGTTGTTGATAATTTTTCACGTATGTTTTCTAATCTTTCTCGATATGTTTGTAATGGCAGCGAAGGATCATGAATTGCGAAAACCTTTACAACTATAAGTCCTTCGACATATTTTGCTCTAGCAACTTTGAAAAACCTAGTGCTTCCCAGACTAAAAAATAATATTCGTCATATAATTTATGAATACCATCGAATATCAAAATATTTTACCTAATATCAAATTGCAATTCAGCATGATCAGTTAAGTAGTATTCAACGGGAAAGATTTGAGATGGAGCAACTCCTACCAGTTGATTACCCATTTAAAATATTTATATTTTACATTCACAACCAATAATCATATTAAAACTAAAATAAAGATTGAAATTAGTTTGTATAGTTCATGATGTATTTGCATTGTATTTTCAGTATTGTTTTGAATTTCTGTCAAAAATTGACGTTTCACACAAGTAAAGAAAGAATTTGCTGAAGTTGGCTGTGTAAAATTCTCATAGTTCCCAACATAAATGCGAGGTTATGTTTTTGATTTTGGGTAATGATCATTTTCATTTTATTTAGTTATTTATTGGTTTTATATCTGCAAAAATATTTCTAACGGAATCAAATTCACGTTATGAACATTGTTGCGCGTAAAATAAGACAAATTTCATTCAGTAACTTAAACATTAAAAATATGTCTAGTAAAAAATATTCAACTAAAAACCGCATAGTTTGGATTGATATGGAAATGACAGGCTTAGATATTAATAAAGATAAAATTATCGAAATAGCTTGCATTGTGACAGAGTCTGATTTAAGCATTGTTGATACATGCCCCTCGATGATAATCCATCATTCAGATGATGTATTAAACAGCATGAATGAATGGTGCAAGGTCAATTTAGGTAAAACTGGATTGATTGACGAATGTAAAAAATCAACGACAACATTAGAAGAAGCTGAAGGCAATATACTAATTCTTAAGAAAATATTGCTCCAAAAGAATGCCCATTGCAGGCAATAGTGTGTACATGGATAGATTGTTTTTACAAAAATATATGCCAGTAGTCGATCAATATTTACACTATAGAATAATTGATGTTTCTTCCATAAAAGAATTGTGTAAACGATGGAATGAAAACTTTTATAAAAATGCTCCTAGAAAAAAATGTGTACATAGAGCTCATGATGATATTCTAGAAAGTATAGCAGAACTACAATATTACAAAAAAATATTTCATCATTAAAGGATATGTTTTCTAGAAACTGATTTTCACAAATATATATAATTTTTAATTCAGTACAAAATATTTTTTATAAATGAAGAATTAGTTTAATATTAATTAAAACATAATTTATTGCAAAAGCAATAAAGCAAATTATGATTTAAAAATAAATTTGTACAAATTACTATATATATACAAAAAATTAAAACTACTCGTTTATGGTATAACTTTTAATATAAAAATTGTATAAAATATGTTTCTGCCAAATGCACTTGGCAATACTTGAATTTCGATCAATAAATAAATGTATAAAATTTTATGAACATGCCTAATAAATATTTGTGATGATCCTTGTATAAATAAGAATTTATAAATATTTAACATTACAATACACCTAATATAAATGCAAATATTTTAGTTTAATAATGAATTTAAGACGATAGATAGTTAAAATTTGAACTTCAATCCAGAAGCCACCATTATTGATTAACATAAAATAAGAACTTCAGAATGAAACATTAAGGCAAATGCATTTAGTGCTGATAAAGAAATTTGAAATAAACTATTAACTTACTATATCTTGAGGAGGCAGTAGATTTGTTAATATACAACAATAGTTTTACAACTTCTGGTATTATTTATATATAAGGCACTAGGAGGGCTTATAGAATTATATAAAACTTAAATACTAATATTGTTTATCTATATTCTTGTATGCTTGTGTGTATGTATGTATGTGTATAAAATGTTCGTTATGTAGTTTAAAATCAAACACAACCGTATTCGTACCAAATAGCACTATCTTTCATATCTTTATTGTCACCTGACTTAGGTGAAGTGTCTTCTTTATTAGCTGACTCAGGTCTTCCAACCATTTTATTGTAGACTATAAAAGTGTTTCCTTGGCTGGGTGTAGAATTTCCTGGGAGTGGAGATTGCCTTCCAGATTCTGTTTCTTGAGTTAAATACACTGTTCGCCGTGTACCAGCAGAACCCAAACATAAAGATTCATCTAATGATGACGATGTTTCCAAACTGAAAATTTTATACATAAAAAATCTGATTATATTGTATTCACTTTTGCAAAAGTACTTCAAGGCAATTCAAGAATGAAAATCATTTCAGGTTATAGATAAAAAATTTAGATTTATTTATATAAACTCTTTTCTAAATACCTTTGATTAGGAGTATTATTTTCCCCATTGCCATCACATTTGTCACCCAATTCTGGCTGTAATGTTGAGTTAACTACATGTGAATCATCAGTCCAAGAATGTCGATTCTGTAATGAATAATGAAAAGGTAAATTTATGAAAATAATTCTTTTTGAATATATAAATATATTTACTCTGCTTGGAACTTTTTTCATTAAGTCTGATCCAGCTTTACAAACTCGATGAACAAGTATTGACCCAAATGCTTTCCTAAAAGAAAACAAAAATCAATACCAAATAAAAATTATTATAATTGCAATGAAACAAACAGATTTTATAGATGAGAATTGAAACTGATATAATCCAAAAAGTAATTTCTTTAGATACCGTTTTGAAGAGCAACTTTCAAGTTTCCTATAATGTTCCATAATTTTTTCTTCTAGTTTTTCCTTCTGACGACATAAACTGTTCACTTTATCTGTAAATAATTTTTCTTCATCATGGTAGTGTTTATTGTCTTCAATAGAATGAGCCAATAGTTCATGATACTGTGAGAGTAATTTTGATACTTGGTCCATTAAGATTCGTCTGTCGCTGTCCAGACAGCTGTTTCTTTGTAGCAACATCTATCAATATTTATAAATTATTATAGAATTCTTATATTTTAAATCAGCTTATGTAAATTTTTAAATGTTCTAAAATCATGATAAAAATCATTTTTAAAATACCTCACAATATTGGCTGACTTTATGCAATTCGAGTTGCAAACTTGTTATAAGGTCTCTCCTATTGTTTAATTCACCAGTTAATTCAGTATATTGTAATTTTTGACGGTGGGACTCACTTCGAACTCTCCTGTAATAAATAAATCATCCGTATATATAGTCATAGAATATATAGTGAAAATAGGTATTAGTTATACTAATTCTAATTTTCTTATCTCAATGATTTACCTATATTGTTCTTGGAGATTTCTATATTCTGCCTTCAACTTATCACTTGCAGTGAAAAGATGTTTGAAATCTTCCTTTAAGTTTGAATGCTCAGATCTCAGATCTACTACACTTTGTATTTCTGCTTTCAAATTAGAATTTTCTTCCAAAAGAGATTTTATTTCTTTTTCATTAATTGCTAATTTATCACTAATGTCTCTATTTTCAGCCTTCAGATCTCGAACTGTGCCCCTAGTACTTTCACGCTCCTTTGTCAATATTTCATACTCCAAAGTCAGTTGTTCATGCAAATTTTTTAACGTTTCCAAATCCTTGGTAATATCTAAGTTTTCTTTTTTGCTCTGTTGCAGTTCCTTTTTAATATCTTCTTTTTGTGTCAAAAGTTCGGTATTCTCAGTTTGTAAAGAAACTTGTTGGCTTTGTAACGAAGTAATTTGCGAATTTAAAGTAGTAACATCAACTTTGTACACTGCATTTTCCTTTCGTATTTGCCCATTGACTGTTTTCAACAATGATAACTCAGTGGTTGTGCTTTGTTCATAACTCTCATTATTTTGTTTGCTATCACTCAGAACAGTATTTAATGGCTTGTCTTCACTACATTTGTTGCAAGTATCACATAATTTTAATGTATTTTCTTTGTTTATTTTGGCTATAATATCCTTCACAATTTCATGATTGTCAGCGTTCATCAAAATATTTTCAATGCAATATTCTAAAGAGTTGTCTGTTTTAAGAACATTACTCACGTCCACACCTAATTTGTCCAAGATCAAAGATGCTCTCTCAAAGTTTAGTTTTTCTGCGACCAAATCTGCTTGCAAAGTAGAAATGATTTTATCGGTCATTTTTGATTGTGTTTCATTGTCTTGAATTTTCTTTTTCATTTCTTCGATCTTTAAAGCTAATTCTTCACTATTATGCAAATCCTTTGTGATTCTTTCAATTTCTTGACTCATTTCTTCAATGTATATGGAACTTTTATCAAGTGAAACTTCTTTTTCCTGTAATAAAAAATTATAAAATAATTTTTTATAAGATATTAGATATAATTATATTAATGATTATATTAACAAAACTAAATACAAACTTCTATAAGATCACGTAATTTCTGCACATCTTTCATCAATCTCTGATTTTCTTTTTCCATGTTTACTATCTTTTCATTTAGCTTTGCAATAACTTCTTGGCTCTGTTTTGATGATGATGCCTTCTCCATTAAGTCACAACATTCATTTGTCTTAGCTACCAATAACTTATCTAAATCATCATATTTTCTTTGAAGGCATTCATTATTATGAGATAATGTTTGCCGTTCTTTCATTAATGCATCTAATTGTTTTTCAATCTCTAACAATTTCTTTTTCTCCAACTAATATCAGAAAAGTCACAGAAAAAAATGTTTAGTAATAATTACTACAAGGAATAATTATGCATTTAAATTCATTTTATATTTTGTATTTTGTAAATTATGTAAATTATTACCTCTTTCTCATTTGTGATCTTATCAAGCAAGTGCTTATTATTGTCCAATTCACTAAGCAATTTTTTATTTTCATCCATTGAATTTTTGAAAATTTTCTCAATTTCACCATTTTGATCTGTTAATCTATCACAATTTTCTTTTAATTGAACACATTTCAAAGACAATTTTTCCTCTCCTTTTCAGAATCTACTAAGTTATTTGAGATTTCATTATTAGTCATGATCATGTCATCTATTCTGGATAGTAATTGTTTGTTTTCTAGTTCCAATTTTAGTACTCTCGCCTAAAATAAATAAAATATATCTTATATTTTAAATATTGAAATCTGTGAATGCTTATTGGATTCTAATTGGAAAATATAAACATAATATCAATCTTAATTTAATCAAAACATTTGCATGTACAATGCAAAACTTAATAAATTTAGTTAGTAATTTGAAAATAATATTTACTTCTGCATCTGTTTTTAGCTGATCTATCAAACTTGTTTCAGCAATTGAGTGGTCATTTTCGGCATTTTGGTCATTCAGCGTACTGCTGGTATTTGATGAATCAGAAACTGCAGATTTTGTTAATAATTGTAAATGTGTGTTCTCTTCTATTAAATCCTGAAGTTTACTGTGATCAGCTTCTTTTTGCTAAAATACAAAATATCTTTTAAAAGTATGTAAAATAACTCTTAAAATGTCTGATCTGATTTAGATAAAAATATAACATTTTTAGCTTATTCATTATAATTTATATTTTGAATCTTACCAGTACTAAATCATTAACTCGTTGTTTATATTTAATTATTTCTGTCTCAAGTGATAAAGCTTGTTCACTGCGTTTTCTTGCTCTTGACAACTGCTCTTCAAGCATTTCAATAGTTTCAGAGAGATTTTTGTTATCTTCTCTTAATTCCTCCACTCGATTTTTATAAAATTCATCATCATTCATGCGATCACGTAATTTCTGAATTTCCTGCTCTAATCTATCTGCATGTTCACATTTTTCTCTTAATGCATCGATTTCATCTCTATATGCTGAGGCTCTACAAGAAGCTTGAAACCATTCTTGACTCTAAATTAATTGAGTAATAAATAAATTATATATAATCTTAAAATCCTATTATTTTACCTTATCAATAATATATTTATTTTATTTAGAAAGACAAATATAAAATTATCATTAACTGTACCTCAATTTTTAACTTTTCTAGTTTTTTCTGTGTGTATTCAAGCTCCTCTTTATATTCCATTATTACTTCTGACTTTTCCTCCCTTAAAAATTAATACAATATTATTTAAGGTTCATTTGGCTTTATTGCATATTAGAATAATTTAAACATACAATTCCTGCCGTTGTCTTCTTAGTTTAGCTTTCCAATCTGCAAGTTCAACCGCATGATGATTGTTATCAATACCATGAACTCCATTTTTTGATGGACTTGATAATTTATCTATTGAACTAAGAGAGTCTACCAAATCGAATTCATGTAGTATGAAAAGTATTTGTCACGCTCTTTAATTAAATTCATTAATGATTGTCTTTGCATTGGAGAACTAGTAGCTTCATCATATTCATTTGTTAAAACAAGTGTTTGACTGTCTATCACCTAAAAAATTTCATTTTTTACTATTAACTACACCTTTGGGACCTCATAATTCACAATCAGTTGGAATAATTGTTTGACTCTACATAGTTAACTCATGTAAATTACATAGTTAAAATAATATTTAATATTTTTTTAAAGTATACCTGTGTAATATAATCTTTTATTGCATGCTGCACAGTTATATTAAGATCATATATATTCTGAATGAATGTTTTTCGATTTGGGCATTGAACTGCTGCACCAAGTAATAATAAAATTAGTAGTTTCATGTTTTCCAAGCCTGATCTTGAATCAGGTTTTGTTCCTAATTCTATGAAATCAGGTACTGATACAATTGTTTGTCTGAATTCTTCATCATATAAAGTTTTTAGATTTTTAAAGATGTTGTGAAAATTATTAATCCTAGAAGCAACAATCATTTCATTATTTCCAGTTAGTTTACAAATAGAATGAGCTGGTTCTGGATCTATTTGTAACAAAACAGAAAAAATAAGAGATCCATCCCACAGTGATGAATAATCAACCAGTTTTTCTGACTCTTGCAGACAAGATTTCAACTGTAAGGGAAATAGAAGTAGGTTACATATAAATAGTAACAACTCTTTGATATTAGTGATAATAAAATAGAACAGTATGTTTTTGACTGCCAAGAGAATAATTTTGTAAATAATTCATGTCAACACGTTCGTTTCCTTTAGTTTTATTTAATATTGCGCAAACAAGTGTCATTTACTAAATGAACGGCAGTTGATATGTATCACAATAAAACAACAAACAAAACATTAGTTGCTCACCCAAGCTATTAAAGGTCCGGAAAGAAAATCTTCGATATCTGAACTTGCTGT